CCTCCTGAGACGATGCAATGAAAACTCAACATCACTTCTGTGGCATTCCTGACAAAATTCCATAACCTGAATCTAATCACGAGGAAACAATGAACAAAACTAAGGAAAGGAATATTCTGCAAAATAACTGGCCCGTCCCATAAACTTCAAAAGGAAAAAAGTCTTGGTGATCTACTTCCAAAAATCAGCCAGTGAAAACCCTATGAATCACAATGGTCCAAACCGCAACTGATCATGAGGATGATGCAGGACTAGGCAGTGTTTCATTCTACTGCGCATGAGGTTATCGTGAGTCAGGGGCTGACTCGATGGCAGTGAACAAAAACATACTTCGAAAATATATCTATCATGAAACTCAAAGACAGACCAAGGAACTGTCCTCTCTTTTAATTTCCAGAGTAATGGAGACTAAAAAAGGTGAGACAGCTGAATGTAACATATAATAACAATGTTTGGAACATCGGAGAAATTTGAGTAAGCTCTGTAACTTAGTACTATATCAACGTTAATATTTTTTTAGTTTGATAACTACTCTGTGGTCATGTAAAACAATGTCCTTATTTTTGGAAAATAAATACTTCATGTCTGTAACTTACTCTTAAATAGTTTAGGAGAAAGAGTGCGTGTATATGTGTGTCATTTGTATGTGAGGGGCGAGGAAAAAAGAAGAGGGGATAAAACAAAGTGGTAAAATGTTAACATTTGGGAAATCTAGGTGATATGGAAATTCTTTATACCATTCTTGCAAGTTTTTTTATAAATCTGAAACTATACCAAAATAGCTAAAATAAAAAAGTGAAGTTTGCTAAATAGTTGCCAGTTTCAACAGTTTGGGGTGGGGACAGGGCCAGATTAAGGCACGTGAGGGCCCTAAACACTGATAATCTGTGATGCCCACTCTTCTGTTTACTCATGCATTCAAACAGGATATGTGGGTTATGTATATACACGTGTGCATGTGTGTGCGTGTCTTAGCTATCCATGATGTAACTTGTTTTTAAATATGACTATAATATTAG